TTTTTTTTTTTTTTTTTTTTTTTTTTCACATAGGGTCTCACTAAGGCACTAAGTTAGTTGCCCATGTGAGGCTCAAGCTTGTGGTCTTCCTGCCTCAGCCTCCCCTGTGCTGGGAGGCATACCACTTCAGCTTGAGAGTAGATTCCTGCATGAAGCAAATATTTGACCCTGCTTTATCTCTTTTTTTAATGCCTTAAATTCTTTTTTTAACTTCTATTTTGTGTCATATAAATCAAGATTCTATATGACTAATTAGAGTTTGACTTAACTAGATATTCCTAAAATGCCTAAGCATATAAAAGATAATATTTAAGAATGAAAATAATTATTCAAATAAGATAGGGTTATGGAGAGTTTTTTGGGGGGTTTTTTGGTTTGTTTGTTTGTTTTTAGTACCGGGCATCGAACTCAGGTCCGTACTTGTGAGACAGGCCACAGAACTACTGAGCTAATTTCACAGACTTCTGGAAAGTTTTTAAATAAGAAAATTATGGGCCAGGGATTTAGCTCAGTGGTTCCACCGCCTGCCTTGCAAGCACAAGGAGCTAAGTTCCATCCCCGGTACCAAAAAGAAAGAAAATTACTTTGCTCCATTCTTCTAAAAATGTTATTAAGTATACAATTAAGAGAATATATGTAACATACATAATTTTTAAAAGAATAATAAAATGAAGGTTTGTGTATTCACTACCCAATTTAAGAAATAGAACATTACCATGAAAAAGCATTATTAGAAATAAGGTAAATTATAAGGTCAATTCACCAAGAAGATATGACTCTAAAATTATCTGTCTAGCTGGAATAGTGATGCACGCCTGTAATCCCAGCACTGGTGAGGCTGAGGCAGGAGGGTTGCCATGAGTTCGAGGCCAGCCTGGGCTACATAGTGAGAAACTATCTCAAAACAAACAAACAAATAAGATTGTCTATTTATTTGTTTTTGAGACAGGATCTTACTAAATTTTCCAGGCTGGCAAACGTGATTCTCCCACCTCAGCCTACTGAGTAGCTGGGATTACAGATGTGCACCACAACTGGCAAAACTGTAGTCACTTGTATAAAAACATTTACACAAATCAAATATAGACTAAGTATTAGTGTTCTAGGAGAATTTTGCCTGACAGTCAGGGAGCAGATAGATAATTCTAGGTTGATTTTGTGGCATCGGAAAATGTCATGTATTTAGTGTGATAGCTTTTGTTTTTTTCAGGGCCAGGGATTTAGTTCATTGGCACCACACCTACCTCACAAGCACAAAGTCCTGAGTTCAATCCCCAGTACCAAAACAAAAACATGAGCCTTTGTTTAGTTCAGACAGCATGACAGGCATTTTGTGTTAGGGACTGTTTTTCAGATACTCCAGTCCTCCATTTGCCAGAGATGGAATTAATAAAATTAAAACAAGATTAATTGATAAATTAATATAATTAAAATCATGACTGCAGTGTAGGTCAGGGGTACAGTGCATGTGAGAGTCCCTGAGTTTAATCCTCAGTACCAAAAATGTTCAAATTGGGGGAAAAAGAAAATGTAACTGGTTTACTGACGAGACTTAAGCTTTAGTCCCTTATGTATCCGCAAAGCACCGGTCTTAGAGAAACACTTCGACCTCTCTTTAAACCCAGTTTACAAAAATGAACCCTTGCCTTCTTTACAGGGTTGTTGTAGAGATTAAGCACACACATTGGATTGCAAACTTGGAAGCTTTTTCAAATAAGAAATGTTTGTTTTTCCCAGAGCCCAAGCTGCAAAGCCCTGCATTCTATTCTTTGATGAATTTGAGTCCCTTGCTCCTCGAAGAGGTCATGACAACACAGGAGTCACAGACCGAGTAGTTAACCAGCTCCTGACTCAGATGGATGGCGTAGAAGGCTTACAGGGTAATCATTTAAAATGGAGAAAGATGTGGTTGCAACAAAATTTCACCAGGTTTTAGTTTCTCATATGTCTTTCCTCCCCTACAGGTGTTTATGTATTGGCTGCTACTAGTCGCCCAGACTTGATTGACCCTGCCCTTCTTAGGCCTGGTCGACTAGATAAATGCGTATACTGTCCTGCTCCTGATCAGGTGACAAATTCATGTGGAGTCCAAAACCCAACACATGCTGCACTCTTTCCTTGTGAACTTGCGCTCTGCCAGGGAATAGCAGTTGTCCTTAGAAGACCTGCTTTCTTAAGCAAAAGCTTTAGTCGGGTGATGGAGAACCTATTAGAGTTTTCAGTGATACAAACAGCCCACCAAAGCATGAGTGCCTTAGGTTTGCCACCTCTGCTCTGGTCCCTGCTTGTTCGGAGCATGCAGAGATCAGCTTCCATGCAAAGCCTGTCTGACCCAGCCATTTCTGTGCAAGTCTGAACCCTTTTTATTTCTCCACTATTGGGCGCTGTGGGACAAAGGCAAGAAACCTAGACTGTCTACATTCTCTGTTCAGAGAGCACATGCCCCGTTCATTTTCTTTCAAAGAAACTAATACAGAATCAGGCACATGAATAGTGAGCATGTAACTAGGTCACAGAGAGTAATTTCCCAGCCGTTTCTCGTTATGTGTGGCGCCAACTCTTGAGCTCAGCGCTGGAGATGAATGTGAATGAGTGATGAGTGGACGTGAATAGTCAGAGGTGGAAATACCAGCCATTGAAATTACTGTGGCTTCGGACTGGCGCACTTGCCAAATACAGAAGTTAACCACAATCTGCAGAAGAAATGATTTACACCAGATGGTTAAAAATGTTGATTTTCGTACCTGTATCACTTCTGTTAGGGAAAATTTTCCAAGGAAGGTAGGCTGTAGACTTGGGGTATATTTCTCAAAGTACTTGTAAAGCTTGTTAGATATGTAAAGTCAATTTATGAAAAAAAGTCCTAAGATACACAGTTGAAGATAACATTTCATTTTATTTGTTACTAAAGTCGCTTTCCTCCCCCAGGGGTCGCGTCTTGAGATCTTAAAGGTGCTCAGTGACTCTCTGCCTCTGGCAGAGGATGTGGACCTGCAGCACGTGGCCGCTGTGACCGACTCCTTCACTGGAGCGGACCTGAGAGCGCTGCTGTACAACGCACAGCTGGAGGCCTTGCAGGCGAGGGTGCTCTCGGGCAGACTGCAGGTCAGTTTGTAGGGGTCCGGTGTGGTCAGAGAGAGAGAGCAGCCAGCAGCCAGCTTTCAACCTTGAAATATACTATTTTTAACAGTTTTTCTAAAACTATAGACATTTAATTTTGTAATCATGAACAATTTGACATCTGTTTCCTTAACATTACCTTAATATTAGCAAACATCCGTTGGTGTTTGGAAGGCTATTTAAATTGGGATAACGTAAGTTACTATTAACAGAAAAATGGCTGAGGTTACCAATCCTGCCAAGGAGACCCTCTTGTGACATCCGTGCCCTCGTGATTATGTCCTCATTGTTTTCTGGTCACTGTCTTATTTCCCAATGCAAGGTATTCTTAGTTTATTACCCTGTCTGTATCCCAGACCTAGAATCAGCGTTTCTCTAAGAATAATAGTGTTTTGAGTTTTAATTATTGAAGTAAATGATTTGTTACATCGTGAACTTCACTGTATATTGTGTATGTTCTTGTCCCCCACATTTTATGAGAGATTTTGGCAAACCCTAACAGTCCCAAATCAGATACTCCTAAGATTTTGTGGTTTATTTTGGCAAGCCATTGAAGTTTTTTAAATCCTTCTTTCACTACTAAAAAAGTTGCTATTTATAAAGTACTCTGTCATAAGAAAGCACTTACACAACATGGTTGATTGCAGGTGTGCACTGCCATGCCCAGCTTTCTCTTTCCTTTTTTTAATAGTTAAAATTTTGCTGCGTGTCTCACAACCATTGGAGAATTAGTGATGCTTTGTTGGAAAATGCCTAGGTCTCCTTGTATCGCTCTATTCGAATGCCTTCTGTGTTCCATGGATTATTTAGATCTTACACCAAGTTCTCCCTTTGTGTATCTCAGGACGGAAGTTCCAGCTCTGATAGCGACCTAAGTCTGTCCTCGATGGTCTTCCTTAACCACAGCAGTGGCTCTGATGACTCGGCTGGAGATGGAGAATGTGGCTTAGATCAGTCTCTTGTTTCTCTAGAGATGTCAGAGATCCTTCCAGATGAATCAAGATTTAATATGTATCGGCTCTATTTTGGAAGCTCTTACGAATCAGAACTTGGAAATGGAACCTCTTCTGATTTGGTATCTTGGGCTGTTTTTTTTGTTTCTTTTTTTTTTTTACAGTTCTGAAATATAAAGCTATATGTTATGTTGGTGTAAAGTTAGACATTTATTATTCTCCTAACCAGCCCCACATACTCTTAATGGTTGGTTCTTCAGTAACAAGAGTCTTGTTTTTCTCGTCGACCTGGTTAGTAATTTTCATTCCTTGTTAAGAGCTTTAAAATGGTCTGAGAACAAGGGGAACCAAAATAAGTAGTGACTGTGATTTGGTTTCTTTCAGGCTTATCTCTCTTAGTGGGTTTAAAACATTTTTAGTTAGCAAATCCTTTTTTATAGTAAACTTAAGTTTTATTATCATAGAACAGTTGAGGATAATGAGAAATTTTATATGATGTCAAAATTTTTGACAATGTTGTTTTGTAGAAAATATAAACAGTGAAAAGCAGTAATAATATATCAACAAGGAAAATATTTAGGTTAGATAATCACTGTTTTTTCTACTTTTTTTGGTACTGCGGATTGAACTCAGGATCTTGTGCTTGCAAGGCAGGCGGTGGAACCACTGAGCTAAATCCCTGGCCCTTTTCTACTTAATTTTTATTATTCAACGTATATCCCTCCAAAATTAATAGTGTTTCACTTATTTTTTTGGTACACATAACATTTTTATGTATATTTAGTTATATTTTTATACATTTTCTTTTTTCAGGTTTCTAAAAATATGTTACCTACCCATTTTTATTCCTCAGAATAATAAGGCACTGCTTTACTTCTAGTTTTTAATTCCCTTTCCTATTTTTTAACTTGTCTAGAAATGTCCTAGAACTTTAGTAAACTATTTGCAGAAGACTAAGAGGAGGACTCATTTGTAACCTGTCCTTGGCCATTGGTGTGGTGGATTTAAGTAACAAAGCATTAAAAAGAAAAATCCCCTTGTTACCGCAGTTTTTGCTCTGCAGAGTTCTGCAGCATGGGTATCAGTGAACCTTTATAGAATACCAACATATTTTAAATGTGCTTGATTTTAGTAAATTAAAATGCAAACTTGATCTGTGTTTAGGCTTAATGCTTAAATACTTTAATTTTCATTTCTGGTAAACACGGTTGTGTTGCTCCTCCTCCCTTCTTTCATCACATGCAGAGCTCGCAGTGTCTCTCTGCACCCAGCTCTGTGACTCAGGATTTGCCTGGACTTCCTGGGAAAGATCAGCTGTTTTCTCAGCCTCCCGTGCTCAGAACTGTTTCCCAAGAGGGATACCCGGAACTCACCCAAGAGCAGCGAGATCAGCTGAGGGCGGATGTCACTGTCATCAAAGGCAGATACCGGAGTCAAAGTGGAGTATGGCTTTTCTCCCCTTTCTTTATAATTATTAAAACTTTCTGAAAGTTGTTTTTTTTTTGATACATATTTCTTTGATTTGTAAAGGAGCTATATTTATAAACAAGAATTGAAACACATGGATTCCTTGCTTTCAGTTAGTTATTAGAAAGGGAATGGATGTGTCATGGAAAATTGACAAAAAGAAATGAAACGGCTACTTTTTCACATGTTCGCCTTTTTATTTTTTTAAGGAGGATGAACCCCTTAACCAGCCAGGACCAGTCAAAACCAGTCTGGCTATTAGTCAGGCACACTTAATGACTGCCCTTGGACACACAAGACCATCCATTAGTGAAGATGACTGGAAGAACTTTGCTGAGCTGTAAGTAACAGATTCTGATATGGAAATACAGATATCACAGGTGATGTCATTATTTATTTAAACTTTTTTTGTCTTGTGGGGTCTTCTGGGTTTTTTTAGACAGTCTCATTACGTAGTATAAGCTAGCCTTGAATTCACTGTAGCCCAGGCTAACCTTAAACTCATGGCGATCCTCCTGCCGCAGCCTCCCAAGTGCTGGGATTATAGGCATGTGCCACCACTTCTAGTTTATTCATTTAAACTTTTGAAGTTCCTGCTACTCAGGAGGCTAAGGCAGGATATTTTGGCACAGGAGTTTTGAGGACAGCCTTTGTTGACTCTGTCACAAAAAAGAAAAAAAAAGAGGGCCAAGAATTTAGCTCAGTGGTTCTGCCGCCTGCCTCACAAGCACATGATCTCAAGTTCAATCCCCAGTACCAAAAAAAAAAAAGAAGATAAGTCGATATAGATGAATAAATATAGGTAGATGTATGCATGTATGTATGTATATAATCCTGTCTTAAGCATCCATTACCTTCTGTTACTGTAAAATCTATATTAATTTTTGTTGTCATTTTTTGGTTTTGTTTTTTTTTGTTTGTTTTTTTTGAGACAGGGTCTCACTATGTAGTTGAGACTGACCTGGAACTCACTATGTAGCCCAGGCTGGTCTCGAACTCACAGTGATCCTCCTGCCTCAGCCTCCCAAGTGCTGAGATTACAGGCATGCACCACCACGCCTGGCAGTATATTTATTAAATATTATGTTTTATTTTTTAAGGTATGAAAGCTTTCAGAATCCAAAGAAAAAGAAAAGTCAAAGTGGAGCAATATTTCGACCTGGACAGAAAGTAACTTTAGCATAAAATAAACGTCTAAGAATTTTTTTTTTCTTTTTTTCTTTTTTTCTTGGTGGCCCTATGTTGTAACAGTACCAAAAAAAAAAGTGTCTGTAAATTTCTTTTTAATTTAACAAATTTGATTAACCTATAAAATCAGATTGGTAAATGCTGTGATTATATAATGATCAGGATTACTTGAGATTAATGCTGTTAAATAAATTGAGATATTTAAAACAGATTCTGTATTTTATTTCCCATAAATTATATTAAATCCTTAATGAAATAATTTTGACCAAGCAGTGATACATACTTCTCCTTTGAAGACAAGAGAGAATATAATTAAGTAAATTTCTTGGAACTAACAGTTGCATACTCAGAATCTTTCTAGCATTTGACAAATCTTATGCTTAGCACTTTCATGACTGTTTATGAAAAATTCTTATTTTCTACTGATCCAAATATACACAATTACATAAATTCTCCATGCAACAGGAAATGAGATCACATCCCCAAGATACAATATATCTAATAGAAACTCCAGGATCTTTTGGAATGATGTCCACTCCTCTCCTGGTAGCACCATAATTTTATCTTGATACTCTTGTTTTGAGACAGGGTCTCACTATGTTGTTTGGGCTGACCTTGAATTCACTATGTGGCCCAGGCTGGCCTCATACTTTTGGCAATCCTCCTGCCTCGGCCTCCCAAGTGCTGGGATTACAGGCATTAGCCATCATGCCTGGCTCTCGATATTCTCTTGATTTGTTAATTATATTTTAAATCAGCCACTGTCAATACAAACTATGTATCTACTATCTAATTATGTGATAAGAGGGAAAGGAGAAAGTTAATTAAAATGTACAGATAAGCACACAGAACAGCAATGAAGGATTTATAGATGGTAAGCATTGCCCTTTCTTGAACTAATCATGAGGGCAGAGCTGATATTTTTTACTTGTCTGTTCCATTGTTTGCTCCTCTGACTTCAACCAGAATGTCAGTTGATTAGACCTTTTCTAAGTGGGATAGCCTGAAACCTTTCCCCCTGAGCCATGGTATGCTTTCCATCTAAGATGGCAGAAGTCTTCTATTAAGTATTTCTATAGTCTTAAGGTTTTGCCTGTATTTTTTCTCATCCATTGTGTAACAGCAACTTTGTATTCTTTCAATCAGTTTACTACTCACTGATACCAGAACCCTTTGCTCCCAAGCCAAGTGGAATCATTGCTGTGTTTCTATCAGGAAACTGGCCAGAGGAGTGATTGAGATGAATGTGATAAGGGAGGGACCTTGGAACAACAGTTCCCAGTGCCATGGCTTGTATCTAGATGTCTTCCCAAGGACTCATGCAGTCAGAGGTGGGGCTTTGCAGAGGTGGTTGGATCTAGTGGGTGTGATGTTGGGACCAAGGATGTAATGTTGGGACTGATTCATGGTGTGATGCTGGGATGAGGGCTGCCCAACCTTACGTGTGAATGCTACCTGCCCTAAAGGCGGGTAGCCTGGAAGAATATAAGGGGTAGAATTATTGTTTGTCTCTTACTGCTTGCTGCCTTGCTCTTGTGCTCCTTCTGCCTGCCAGGAACTGTTTCTCCTCATCAGTGCCTCTCTGCCTTGCCATCCTTTCTTAGAGCCAGTTACCTATGGACTGGAACCTCTACAAACTGAGCTGAAACAAACCTTTCCTCTTTTAACTTTGGCTTCTGGAATGCATTTTAAAGATTAGAGCAGATGTAATTAGAGCACACAATAGCCCGCAGAATTAAAAGCTAGTCATTCTCAGAGATGTTTGTTCTGGCCATTGTGTCCCTTTTGCCCCAATAAGATTGCTTAAACTAAGTTGGCATTTGTCACATAACAAAACATTCTGTTCTGTTCCTGTCCTGACCAAAATTATATAAATGTTACAAATGTTTTTCTTCTACGTCTTTGTTCTTATGTCTTAAATTACAAACAAATAACCACAGAGGTCTCAGCTCACAGCTGTTTTCCTTAGAGTGGATCAGCCCCCATGGGCCTCTTGATGGTCTGACTAAATCTTGACTCCGTAATTACTTATTGTCTGTGCCACCATGGTCACACACTGAGACATACTCCGGTAGAAACAGCATTCCTCTGTTACCTCTAATCTAGCACAGGCTGCAATCGGTATAGCAGCAAAGATGTTGTGGGTCATTAGGTGCAGAACTGACAAGTGCCATCCCCTCTTTGCACTTAAGTTTTCGAATCCTTGTGTTAGGGCTGTGGTCCCTGGTTCACAGCATGTACTAAAGCATATGGTGTCTTGTGGAGCAGTACTCTGAGAAATAATTGTTTCTGCAGAGGCCAGCTGTTTCAGAGTCATAATGGTTATGTTTAACCCAGTGAATTCCATAGGTAGCCCACTGCCTTATTCTTTTCAATATAAAGTAAGTGACCGGATCAGAAGCAGCGTCATGTGGGATGGCACAACAACGTAAATACATTTGGTGAACAAGTGCAATTCCAGTGGGTTTTCACAAAGGACAAATCGCTCCCTCCTGTGTGATAGGTGTGAGAGGTAGCTACCAGGCTTGAACTGGACTCCCCCAGAGTGGACTTGTGGGGCAAGTCACTGCCGCTGCTGAGGCTGTGTGGTTAGAGGGGACTCCGTGTGAGGCTGTGCTAGGATACCCAGCCCCAGCCGCTTTGGCCACTGTGTGAGTCAGTCTTAAGTAAGCACTGGGTGACTGGGAAAGGCAGACTGGCATCCTTAAAGAAGTCATCTTGGCCACCTCATTCTTGAGAGTACTGAAGGTTTTTAGCTGAGCATTCACAAAGGAAACATTCTCTGGGCCTGTTCCAAGAATTCTGGTCCTACTTTTCCCAGACCACTGAGCCCATTCCAAGAACTCTACCCATACTTTTCCAGACCTTGGGGCCAGTCAAGCTGTCTCCAGATTAACAACAATCTGGTTTTCAGTTACTACCTATGAATCAGCATAGACTTTTATATCAGATATTTTACTCTCCTAACAAAATTAAAGACATAGGTTGCTCAAAATTTCTGCCCCCAGCTGGGCAGGGTGGCACATGCTTATAATCCTAGCTAGCTGGGAGGTTGAGGCAGGGGGAATCGCAGGTTCCAAGGCCAGCATGGGCAATTTAGCAAGACCCTGTTTCAAAAAAAAAAAAAAAGCTGGGGATATAGCTCAGTGGTAGAGCACTTACCTCATATGTGTAAGGCCCTGGCCTCAATCTCCAGTAATAGAAAAAATACTCCTATAGAAGAAAAGTTCTGGTGTGCTAAATAATGTATAAAGGGCTGCAAGAAGCTAGGAAAAAGGATTTAAAAGTTTTTATAGTGATAAATGAGGTGTGCTTAATCTTGCTTGAACACCACACAATGCACAGGTAACCTGAAACAGCACTTTACCCCATTAATACGTACAATTTTCATGTAGAATATAGAAATTCTCCCTTGGGACATCTCCACTCCTGTCAGGGCTGCCCCTCAATGCAGTGATGCATTCACTCTGATAGGGTGGGTCACAGTGGGCTTCCGTGTCTCCAGGAGTGAAAGTTCAGACCCTGTATTTCTGACAATCTAGTTGCTTTCCAGGGTTCCTGGGAAATGGCCGGAGGCTGGCCCTGGATCCTCTGGGGAAGGTGTGGAGGAAGGTTCAGAGAAAGTATTCGTTACATTACTGCAGGGCCCTTTCCCTGGGTCCCTCAACTCTTCATTCATGGTCTGCCCTAGGCCTAAGAATTGGGTCAGGAATCATGACCATACTGGGATGACTCACCCAGCACATTTTTTATTAATGAGACTGATCATCATGATCATGAAAGAACAGGATAGGATCTCTGCCCATATAGTTTTGTCTTAAGGACACTGCAATTAGGCCGCACCAAAGCTCCCTGCAGTCAGACTATTATAGTTAACATGTTGGCTTTGCTGCTGATAGTTACATCCACCTGGCCTGTCGTATTGCAACTACCTGAGCTCTGCTACTCACCATCCGCCCATTCCCACTAAAGTCAACCCATTTCCACGGTAACATCTCCCATTTGCATCCTAATGTTGCCGGTAATTGATTCATTCAAGTTCTCTCCCTTGCCTCCCTATCCCCTCTGGAATGTGAATTTCCGAGTCCCATGATCTCCACAGCAGCCTTGCATGGCCATGTGAGAAAGTTCTGGACACCGAGCATTGACAAATGTCACTGAGGCCAGCCAACTAACTTGCAAGCATGAGGGTGAAACACCACAGGCCACTGAAGGCAGACCAAGAAAAAAGGATCCGGTTCCCTCATGTCAATCATGGAGCTGACATATCAGTCCTGGATGTCTCACCCCAGGCCATTTAAAGCCTAAGGTAGATTGAACCCCTTGTTTATCTCCCGAGTAGGGCTCTGAAACTCAGCCCCCCTGGGATGACACCACCAGCTGATAACATCTCAGTCTCCACCGCAGCCTTCCAGCTTCTCCAAGTGCCCATATAAGACAGGCATTCTGCTCCACCTAGGGATCCTGGGCCTGACCAGAATAGTTTGTAGGACCACATTGAGCTCTATAGTTTCATTTCAGAATACACAGTGGTGACTCCTCACGCTTTGATACTTCCCTAATCAGTATTAATAATTTCTCACCTGAAATCTAAGCCTGGTTGAGAGAACATTCAGCGGAGGGAGGAGAGTCTACTCTGAATCTAAAAAAAAAAAAGATTTACCATATTTCTCAAATGAAATTGGGATAATCCTTCTTGGAATAAAGATGAATAGGGATGATAAAGTAAAAAATTTAAATGAAGGCCACAGTTCAAATACTTTCCAAGGTGAACAAGTTATCCTGATTTCTCAGGAATGCTCACTGTCAAGAACCACAGAATGTAAAATTTATGACCTTGTCAGCACTATTAATTATATCAACTGGCTATAAACCAAATCAGTTTAAACAGCTCTGCTTGCCTTAAGAATGTTAATGTATTTCACACCAGAGAAACTATGCAGTATTTACATGTGTGACTTATTTCACTTAAGATTATATCCTCAATATGCATCATTTTCCTATGAATGACTCTAATTTCTCATTCTCTATGGCTGAATAATATTCCATTTTATAGAAAAACCTCATCTTCTTTATCCAGTCTCCAACTGATGGGCAGATGGGCTGTTTCCAAGTACATAAGATCCTAATGGTATAATTGAAAATGTGAAATAAATAGGAAGAAAAGGGTTAAAGGTGTAGGGGAAGTGGGAAGGTAGGGGAAAGGAAATAAGGGAAAAGAAAAAAAATATGAGAAAATGAAACAATGGAAATAAAGTCTTTGTAAATAGGGAAGGGAGGAGGGGAAGGGAGGGCTGGGGAATGGGGGAAAAAATGAGAACCAAGACCTGTCGTGTAGAGGTACAAGATCCCAATGATGAATGTAACTGGACTGTGTACCTAAAATGTACCGATAAACTCAATGAGAATAAATAAATAATGGGCATCTAATTTGTATTTTTAAAAAATGTTAATGCATAATAGTCAATCATGAAAAAGATCAAAGTCCTTCCTCTATCCTTTATAAACCTGTTCCACCTGCTGTAATGCAAATTCTTACCATTTCGTTTGAGGGCTCTTGGTTCTTGGACTGCATAATAAACTTTTCTAAATTGATCGGGGGGGGGGTGTCTTTGAAGACTGAACTCAAGGCCTTAAGTATGTTAGTTAAGCACATCCTCTACCAATGAACTAAGCTCCCAGCCCTGATTTTATTTTTGATAGGGAGAAATGAATAAAACAAAATCTAGTATTTTGTAGAAACTGGCCAAGTACGGTACTAGATACTGGATTTTTAAATGAGTATTTATAGTTTTTAGTAGAATACTCATAAAAGGAAAAAACACAAAATGTGAAACACTGCACAGTGCCATTATTCTATGGAGTTTACTCATTTCCTAGACAATATGACTTTTTTTAAAACTTGGTCTAGGACTCAACCTCCCAGAAAGTTTCCAAGAGTCTAAAAAATATGCAACTAAAAGCAAAGATAAGATAACAAATACCACTGACCATAGATTCACACAGAAAATTTGCCCAAAGATTTTAGACAGAAAACGGAACTTAGGCACTTTGCTCTAGATACTTGTTTTGGCCTATTCCTCAAATTTTTCACAAAAGTGAGGTGCTGGGATTGATTTTCAAAAAAAGAAAAATTTATTTTATTTTATTTTGGTACGGGGGGGCGGTGTCAAACTGGGGTCCTTGCACTTTTGCAAGGCAGGGAGCAGAACCACTGAGCTAAATCCCCAGCCCTGATTTTCAAACTATTTTAACCACAACCCAGTGCAGTAGTTTTACATCACAGTCTGGTCCAGATAACACACACTACTGAAACAAAAATGTCACAGAACATCTGCCCTTGTAATACATGTTGCTCTTTGATCCTTTCTCTTATTCTATTTCAAACACATGAGCTAGTTTTGACTCACTCATGGATTAAGACTTGCAAACTGAAAAACACTGATGTAGGGAGAAACAAAGGACTAGATTATAGAAGTACTTCGTGTCTTATCATCACGTATGTATCTTGGACACAAAGCACTTCACACCTACTGCTGTCTCAGCAAACTATAGCTCATGTAGCAGAAGCATACCCCTGTGGTACCAAATTTTACAGGTGGAGTATTACGAAATTCTACAGTTGATGGGATTGTTTTCTTTGATGTAATTTATTCCATAGCATTTGGAAGTCATTTTTCAGTAAATGTAAATAGGTAGATTCATCATCAAATCAATTCAACCACACAATTATTCAAACAATTATCTATTAGTTTACCTCTTCCAGTTTTGAAGAGATTAAATTTAGAGGTCACCCTATGTAAATTAAGCAAGTACTGTTGTCCTTCACTTTTTGAGTTGTTTTTTCTCTGCCAAAGAAACTGGCAGAATGTACAGGTGCAGTCAGGAGACAATATCTGAGAATAGGCAAGTACATTCAGCTGATGAACAGGACATTATACAAGTTTTACTGTGATTTGAGTATGGAAAAACCTGGGCTGAGAATCTGGACGGTTAGGGCATAGTTTCCGTTGGCTGGACGTAGATCCCACCTCAACTTCAACCTCTGAACACACTCTTCTCTGCAGCTCAGAATCATCTTCAGGTGACTGCCCTTGAGAGCTTTGGCAAGCTGTGAGTTCACAAGCCGCAGGCCCAGGCCAGCAAAGCTGGGGACCAGTCTGGAGCCCCTCTGAATTTGGCATCAGAAGAGATAGGACCTAAGCTGTCGGGAAACCCTAACAATCCACGCACATTGGTCCTAAGGGACTGTGAAGAGAACCTGGCGAGAGGCAAGAGTTTAACCACTGCTACTACCAGGAAAAAACCCTCAAAACAAACCCAGGGTGAGTATCAGGGTTTCCTATTTTACTTTTCCTTGCCTGTGGTAAGCACAGAGCCAGCCTAACTGGAATGGTGACAAACTGAATGGAATGGCATCCCCAGGTGTCCATTCTATGACAAACAGTGATAGCACAGAGCACTTGCAATACAGCTGTGCCGCATTCCTAAACAATTTAAGAGTATTAGCAAGCCTAATCTCACCAGCACTTGTCTGTGACCTGTCTGAGCGCATAACAGAGCACGTAACAGTTGTACCTGTGCTGCGCCCAGGTCGCACATCTTCCCTGTTCCCACCTTCCTCTCAGCTGTTTCTCTCTTGGTAAGGGACTCTCTAAAGGCCACCTCAGCACAAGGCTTCTGAAGCTCTCTGATGTGTTAAACTTAGTCAAGACAGTGCCTTGGTTCTTGATACGGACATTAAACTTCCTTGCCAATATTTAATAATAGCATCTACTTGCTTCTGATGGGCTTGGTGCCCAGTGTATTTCTTAAAGCAGATGTACTTTTGCTAGTGGTTCCCAAGAAATATATTATCAAAAAGAACAGCCAGCCTGAATTCAAGTTTAAATATTACCTCTCCAGCTGCATGATGCGACCTTGGGAATGTACAAGTTGCCTTAAAGAACCAGCATGAAAGCATTAAACACATCAAGAATTAAAGGAGTTAATTTATGCAAAGTACTTAGATCTGTGTGCCAGGCACACAGCACTAAATGAAGTGTTTCTATATTTATCATTTTGATTACTATGTCACCACAAAATTAATTAAAAATATTAAGTACATACTTTCCTTTTGTTTAATTTCCCACCCTAAGAATTTAAATTATACTAGGTAGAAATAATAAAAAGAGATCTTTAAGTAATGAGTCAAACATGCTTGAAATAATACACGATAAGTTTCTTCTCAAAATTAAACACATATTATAGAAAAAACCACATCTTCTTTATCCAGTTTCCAACTGATGGGCAAATGGGCTGTTTCCAAGTTTTAGCTATTACAAATTGTGCCGCTATAAACATGGGTGTGTATATATCACTGTGGTATGATTCTTTTAGTTCTTTTGGAAAGATACCCAGCAGAGGGATGGCTGGGTCAAATGGAACCTCTAGTCCTAGCTCCATAGTGATTTCCATAGTGGTTGCACCAGTCTGCACCCCTACTACCAATGGAGAAGGGTTCCTTTCTCCCCACAACCCTGCCAACATTTGTTATTGTGTGATTTCTTGATAGCAGCCATTCTTTGTGGGGTGAGGTAGAATCTCAGCGTTGTTTTCATCTGCATCTCTCGAATGACCAGTGATGCGGAACATTTTTTCATATATTTACTTGCTGCTTTTACTTCTTTGTCTGAGAAATGTCTGTTCATTTCAGATGCCCATTTTTGAATTGGGTCTTTATATTTGGGGGGGCTGATTGTTTTGAGTTCTTTATATATTCTAGATAATAGTCCTTTGAGGAGCAGCTGGTAAAATTTTTTTCGCATATTGTAGGTTGTCTATTAGTTCTGTTGGTTGCTTTTGCAGTACAGAAGCTTTTTAATAAGATGAGATCCCACTTATTGATTCTTTCTGCTAGTTCCTGTGCTACTGAGGATTTGTTCATAAAATCTTTTCCTATGCCAATGTCTTCAAGAGTTCTGCCTAACTCATCTTCCAGCAAATTTAGTGTTTCTGTTTTAATATTTAGATCATTAATCCACTTGGATTTTAATTTAGTGCAGGTGAAAGATAAGGGCCCAGTTTTAATCTTTGGCAGGTTGAAATCTAGTTTTTCCAACACTATTTATTAAAGAAGCTATCTTTCCTCCACTGAGGATGGTCAGCTCCTGTGTCAAAGATGAGGCAGCTGAGTACATCTAGATTTGTTTTTGTGTCTTCCAATCTGTTCCATTGATTCTCAGATCTGTTTCTTTGCTAGTACCATGCTGTTTTTATCACAGTGGCTTTGTAGTATAGTTTCAAATTGGGAATTGTTATACCCGCTACCATGTCTCTGTTGCTTAGGATGGCTTTTGCTATTCTAGCTAGGTCTCTTATGGTTCCAAATGAATTTTTGGATTCTTTTTCTAGTTCTGTGAAATATAGTATTGGAATTTCAATTGGCATTGCATTGAATCTGTATAGCAGTTTTTGTAGTATGGCCATTCTCACTATGTTGATTCTTCCTATCCAGGAGCAGGGGATATCTTTCCATTTTCTTATATCCTCTTTGATTTGTTTTTTCGAGTGCTATAGTTTTCAGTATAGAGGTCTTTTGCTTTTGTTAGATTGATTCCTAGATACTTCATTTTTTGGATGCTATTGTGAAAGGAATTTTTCCCTAATTTCGCTCTCTCAGTGAGTCTGTTACTTGTGTACAAGAAGGCTACTGATTTTTGTGCATTTTTGTGTATTTTGGGGTATTTCACCTTGTATCCAGCTACTCTACTGAATCTGTCAATTAAGTCTAGAAGTCTTTTGGTGGAGTTTTTTGGGTCTTCAATGTAGAGTATCATATTGTCAGCAAATAATGACAGTTTAACTTCTTCCTTTCCTATCTTTATTGCTTTAATTTCTTTCTCTTGTCTAATTGCTGTGGCTAGTGTTTCCAGAATATTACTCCGCCATAAAGAATGAGAAATTAGATTTATTCATATGAAAATGGATACATATTGAGGATATACTCCAAAGTGAAATAAATAAGTCACACGTGTAAATACCGAATAGTTTCTCTGGTGTGAATGAACTGTAATAGTACATAAGATCCTAATGAGATAACTCTCACAAAAGAAAAAAATGTGAGAAAATGAAAAGATGGAAATAAAGTGTTTGTAAATGGGGAGGGGAGGAGGGGGTAAAGGGAGGGCGGGGACAAAGTGAAAAAATGAGAACCAAGACTTGTCATGTAAAGGTACAAGATCCCAACAATGAATGTAACTGGACTGTATACCTAAAATGTACCAATAAACTCAGTTAAAAAAATCAAAGTTAGATGCATAGATTGTGTGACATGTGCCACAGTAATATCCAGCATAGGATCTGCTGGCATCTTTATCCTCACTGATGGCACAGGGAGGGCAACCAAGCCTGCAAAAGGAAGTCACTCTTCAGTTAAAAACAAACAAACAAACAAACAAAAGGCCAGGTAGCCACATTCTGTTGTTGCCCTTAAAATTAAAGAAGAGAAGCGTACCAGTTAGTGGCCTAGCACTGAACTGGAATGGATGTTTATAGTGTAAGGAGATGGCATCCGAAATTCAGTTTACCCAAGGAATGCAACAGATTGGAAGCAAGTGAAAATAAGATTTTGATACAGCTAGTACCCAGTACACTGGGTTACAATTTTCTTAGAAGAAATGGATAATATGGGATTATTTTTCTTTCCTATGTTAACTTGGGAATAATGTTGAGCGTTAGGGTTAGGTTTAGATTTCATGTCAAGGATATGGATGGAATTCAAATAACTTATAATTTGATTGTGAGAATGTTAGGGCGAGGAACTTTATGAGGGTGAGGTATACTGTGTGATTCCAAGTACCTCAGCATTGCAGTGTAGACATAATGGGTAGTATTTGTGTTGGTCCTAGGGTTAGGCATAGGTTTAGGGTTAGGTATGCATTCAGAATTTCACGACCTTTGTGCTGGAGTATGGGTTTGCTAGTTAGTGTTAGTGTCAATTTAAGATTAAGGTTAGAAATGGTTTAGGAATGTAAAAACCTGGGTTAGGGTTCCTGGTTAGGTGGGGTTAGGTTAGGGTTGGGGTCAGCGATAGTCTTGATATTTTAGTGCCTATGTATTGGAGTGTAGGTTCCTTAGTTAGTATCAGCATCAGATTTCATCATAGGGATAAGACGAATGTAGGATTTCAAGTACCAGGATATTGGAACTTGGGAATAATGTTGAGTATTAGGGTAAGTATTAGGTTTGGTGTCAGGGATATGGATGGATTTCAAGTACCTGATTATTTTACTGTGAGAATGTATGTAAAGGCAAGGATTTTAATGAGTGTGAAGTGTAGTATGGGATGCCAAGGACCTGTATATTGCACTATAGATATAATGGGTAGTGTCTGGGTTGGGGTCAGGGTTAGGGTTAGCTTTAAGGATAGAAATAGATGTGGAATTTCACTGTGTACTGGAGTATGGGAATCATGGTTAGTTTTAGTGTTAATATTAGGATTAGGGTTACAAATGGTTTAGGAATGTAAGTTAGGCTTTGTGTATTGGTTAGGATTAGGGTCAGGTTTGGAGTCAGCAACAGTCTTGGAATTTTAATACCTGTGTGTTGGATTTTGGGTGTCATAGTTAATATCTGCATTAGATTTGGACTTATGGTTATGATTAGAGTAGGATTACAAGTACCACTGAATTGGAACTTGGAAATTATGTTGAGGGTTAGGGTTTGATTTAGATTTGCTTTCAGGGATATGGAAGGAATTCAAGTACTTGATAATGTGATTGTGAGAAAAAATGTTAGGGCAGGGTTTTTATGAAGGTGAGGCATACTGTGTGAATTCAAGCACCTGAGTTTTGCAGTGTAGATATAATAAGTAGTGTCTGTGTTGGGGCTACAGTTAGGTTTATGTTTCAGCTTAGTTATAGATTCAGAATTTCACTACCTTTGTTCTGCTGTATGGGTTTGATGGTTCATTTTAGTGTTAATTTTAGGATTGAGGTGAGTAATGGTTTAGGAATGTAAGTACCTGGGTTAGGGTTTGTAGTTGGGTTAGGGTTAGGGTTAGTGTTTGGGTCAGTACCTGTGAAGTGGACTGTGGGTTCCATAGTTAGTATCACAATCAGATTTTGCCTTCGGGATAAGATGAATGTGGGATTTCGAATACCAGTGTACTGGCACCTGGGAATAATGACTATTAGGGAAAGGATTAGGTTTAGTTTCAGGGGTATGGATGGATTCCAAGTACCTGATAATTTTAGGGAGAGCATGAATGAACAGGCAAGGATTGTGTTGAGGGTGAAGTGTACTCTGGGATTCCAAGTAATGGTATATTGCAGTGTACATATAATGGGTAATGTTTGGATTGGGATTAGGGTTGGCCTTAGCTTTAGGGTTAGAAACAGATTTAGAATTTCACTACCTATGTGTTGGAGTACGGGAATCTTGGTTAGTTTCAGTGTTAATATTATGATTATGGTTACGAATGGTTTAAGAGTGTAAATACCTGAGTTAGGCTTCATGGTGCAGTTAGGGTTGGTGTTAGGGTTTGGATCAGCGATAGTCTTGTAATTGTAGTTCCTGTATATGGGATTGTGGTTGTCATAGTTAGTATCTGCATGAGATTTGGCCTTAGGGTTAAGATGAGAGTAGGATTACAAGTACCACTGTATTGGAACTTGGGAATTATGTTGAGGGTTCGAGTTCGATTTAGATTTGGTGTCAGGGATATGGATGGGATTCAAGTACCTGACAATTTGTGAAAAAGAAAATTAGGGCAAGGAACTTTATGAGGGTGAGGTATACTGTGTGATTCCAAGTACATAAGCATCGCAGTGTAGTTATAATGGGTAGTGTTTTAGTTGGGGCTAGGGTTAGGTTTAGGTGTAGATTCTGAATTTCACTACCTTTGTACTGGATCATGGGTTTGATTATTAGTTTTTGTTTTAATTTTAGGATTAACATAATGGTTTAGGAATGCAAGTACCCGGGTTAGGCTTCATGCTTGGTTTAGGGTTTCGTTTAGGTTTGGGGTCAGAGATAGTCTTGATATTTCAGTACCTATGATTGCAGTGTGGTTTTCATAGTTAGTATCTGCATCAGATTTGACCTTAGGGATAAGATGAGTGGAGGATTTCAAGTACCGCTGTATTTTAACTTGGGAATAATGTTGTGTGTTAGGGTAAGGATTAGGTTTGGTGTCAGGCATATGGATGGATTACAAGTACCTGATAATTTTATTGGGAGAATGAATGTAAAGGTAAAGATTTTAATAAGCGTGAAGTATCCTCTGGGATTCCAAGTACCTGATTATTGCAGTGTAGATATAATTGGTAATATTTGGGTTGGGGTTAGGGTTAGGGGTAACTTTAGGGTTAGAAATAGATTTTCAACTTCAGTACCTGTGTACTCGTGTGTTAGTTTTAGTGTTATTATTATGATTAGGGTTACAAATAGTTTAGGAATGTAAGTATCTGGCTTAGTCTTCATGTTTCAGTTAGGGTTAGGGTTCGGGTTGGGGTCAGCAATAGTCTAGAAATTTTAGTACCTGTGTATTGGAGCGTGGGTTTCATAGTTAGTGTCAGCATCAGATTTTGCCTTAGGGATAAGATGAGTGTAGGATTTTAAGTACTGCTGTATTGGGACTTGGGAATAATGTTGAAGGCTAAGGTTAGGTTTAGATTTGGTTTCAGGGATATGGATGCAATTCAAGTACCTGATAATTTGATTTTGAGAAAGAATGTTACAGCAGGAAATTTTATGAGGGCAAGGTATACCGTGTGATCCCAAGTGTACTACAGTCTTGAACTTCACAAATACATGTATTTCCACCCGTAATCAACTGCAAACAACTCAGGTGAAACCAAATTTCACTTGGTGTCACTTTCTTAGTGTGTTTGTCACTAAAGGTAGTTGCTATGAGCAGTTTAGTGTACACCATTCATACTTTTCTGAATACATTTGTACACTTGGTATACACAGAGGAATGCAGCATGGTGTTGTTATCTTTTGTTTACATTAATGAGCCAAGTGCTATATACTGTTTTACAATGTTGTTGCTTTTTTTTTTTTACTTACTAATAAAAGATCTGGAGCCAGGGCTTTAGCTCAGTTTGTCCTCTATGTGCCTCACAAATGCAAGGACACGAGTTCAATCCCCGGCACCAAAAAAAAAACCAAACAAAAAGCTAATAAGAGATCTGTCTCCACACATAAAGACTACCTACTTTTTGAAGTCCTTCCAGGTATCCACATCCTGGATGCTCCAAAATTTATTTACCATCTTCTCTTACTTATAGTCGCTAGTTTTTTTTTGCTTTTTTTTTTTTTTTTTTTTTTACAATTTCAAACTCTGCTGCTATGAATGTCCTTGCTTCAAGCCTTTTTGTTTTCCAGATCAGGAGACTGGAAGCAAAACTGTTGTGATGAATTACACATTAAAAATTGCAATGATATTATCAGACCTCTCCCAAAAGGCTGTTCTGACATACACTTTTACTACACTATGTGTAAATACCTGTTTTCCCTTAACTTCACTAGTGCTAAATATTATCAAACAGCATACTTTTTGCAAAACTAAATGGAGCTTTTGTTTTGTCATTTCTGTTAAGAATATCTCTTTCACATGTGATTTGTTGTTATAGTTTGGAAGTGAGTATCCTCCAAAGCCCTCCTATGATGATGATGATAATGATTATATATATTTACAGTACTGGAGATTAAACTAAATTTAGGCCTTTGCACTGAGCTACACACCCAGCATGCTTTTTTGGTTTTGTTTTTGTTTTTAAGGCAGGGTCTAATTAAGTCACTAAGTTGTCCAGGCTGGGCTTGAACTTGCCATCCTCCTGCTTCAGCCTCCTAGAATTCTAGGATAACAGGCATGCACCCCCACCTCCAATTAGAGGCCCAAAGGCTTGGGCCCTAATGTGATACTGGCAGGTGGGGCCTAATGGGGAGGACTCCAAGTCTTTGAAAGCATGGCCTTGAAGGGAAGCTAAGACACCTCCATCACCCCCTACCCCACCCATGCAGGTCTCTCTGGCTTCCAGGCCATGAAGTGAGTGCTCCACCAATCAGACTGAAATTGCCAAAACTATGGGCCAAAATAGACCTTTTCACTTTATACAGGTTGATTGTCACGTATTTGTTATAGTGATCAGAAAGCTGTCCAATGCATTTTTAAAGTATGCATTATTAGCCGGGAATGGTGGTGCACACCTGTAATCCTAGCACTCAGGAGGCTCAGGCAGGAGGATTGTTGAGAGTTTGAGGCCAACTTGGGCTACATATGAGTTCAAGGCCAGCATGGACTACATAGCAAGACCCATTCTCAAAAAAAAAAAAAAAAAAAAAAAAAAATAT